TATTTCTACGTACTCAGTGTTTATAACATATCTGTGTCCATACAAAATACATAGTATTTGTGAAAAGCCTTGATTTAGGCGCGTTCTTTTAACACAGATAGGCTTAATATGAAGAGTTTATTTTCAGAATTACCAAAACAAAAATCGAAATATTGTTATTGAAAAGGATTTAGAAATACCCACGGGACGACCAAATGTACGAATCTCACATTTAAATAAAGAGATTATGAAACTGACGGAAACTTAGTAAATACAGCTCTAGTTGTCTATGTTTAGAGTTGGTTTAATCGTAGTCAGTGCGTTACCGTGATGAGAATGTAAGTGTGAAGTTGAGTCCGTTGTGTTGATATCGAGTTAGCATAAACCTGTTAAGATTTTGCAGGTTAAGCCATCACTGTGGGTTGATGACGCATCTTTTATTCAGAGCAAACATTCGTAAACTGCCTGCAAGTATTTATTCACACACTTAAAATTCTGTGGTTGTATATACCTTTACGGTTGATGAACTCTAATTAGCATCACCTTTTTGCATATGTGTGATTTAGGTATATTATAGCCGGTAATGAATCTGAACTGCTAGATTATCGGAACCAGCCTCCCGTAGTTAATCGAATGTGTATGCTCCATCTAATGTATCCCAAATCAAACCAGTCATTAAATCTCTGCAAAACGGACCGAAAATCTTTTATAAAACCGCTGATCGTGAGGACATGGGAACCATGTTCGTTGACAGTCACGTATTGCAGGTAGACATCATACACCGAATGCGTAAGACGTGATTTTGTGGTCTTTGAGCAAGCGATTTTGGAGCGCAGATAATCTTCAGATCAATTACAAATCATCACAAATACGAAGTAAGCCCTAGTTTTCATTATGAATAAAATTTGAGGGTTTGGACTAAAACGTTAAATCGTCTTTCTGGCCTACTGTAAGACGGTAGAGTGCGATTCACTAAACATTTACACCACGTTACATAAGACGTCGAACTTTTATGACAAACTCTGGTAAACGTGAATTCAATTGCATCAGACGCAATAATGGTTATTGTAGACTGTTTAGATGGAGTTGCTTTCGAACGTCCCATAACAAAAAGACTTGGGTATAACTGAAAGATGAGTACTTAAAATACTGGTGCACTAAATTGTAACAACTGTGTGTGTTATGGTCAATTCACAGAGCCTTTATTTGGCTTGCCAATAGTTTTTTTTATTTTGCACTAAAGTTTCTCCAGACGTCTTATGAGGCTCTTCACCAAGTTGGCCAGTCCGTATCCAGACAAATATTTGGATACTTTTGATCGAGTTCATCAATTTAATACTAAATTAGTGATATGACATCGCCCTACAAGGGGAAACTGGAAATTCTAGATCTGTTTACACTATCTTATCGTGAAACGACAGCTTTTGCCACAATAATATTCTGTATGATAAACAATAGTTTGGGTGTTGCCATAATCTCTACTTTAACCCGCCCCTAGACTAACCGTGTTCTATCAAAAGACTCCATCGTAAAATGTTATCAGAAATGTCAATGAATTCTTTTTAGCGGAAGCTGGATTTTTAGTAAAAAATCATACTGTAGAACTTAACACAGAGAAAACTGCCTTATTTTCTTTATATGTGCGCGTTTTGAAAGAAAGATTGATTTCTTATTTGTTGAAAATGAACCTTTATTTTGTATATTTATTGCATCAAAAGCATACTTGATCTGCTTTAACTCGAAAGACTAAGGTTTGAGATCTTCATCAACCTCGAATTGTGGTAATCGGTTTTAGCAAATTCTCACACTTGTGATTGTAGCGTTTATCCTTGTCAACTACTGTCGACCTTTTTCATTTGTCTACAATGGTCGACTGTACTTAGAAATGTGAGCTGTCAAATAATTTTCTACATATAGAGGAAAGAATAAGGTGTGATTTTTGTAGAAACTGATTCTACAAGATGTGCATCAATCTAAGTACGACCCCATACGACAGATGCTCGAAACCTAACTCCTATTGACTCTGTATGTTCTACTATACGAGTAGGACATTACTGAACCACTGGGGTGAAAATGCCTTCTGACTATGGCCTTCAGAAAAGTTGTGGCAGCTGCACTGATAACGGGAGTACTGACAACGAAGTAAGTGTGAGTGTAGTATGTTCTGTTACTGGATGAGCCAAACGTCCGAATGGGAATCATTAAAAAGAAGTAACTCTCCTTTAAAATAAACAAAGAGTAAAACAAATTCCTTTTGTTTTGTTTCTTTAAATCTTCTCACTAATGTTTAGGACTATTATTGATCACTATTTTATTGGCATATATACATCTTGTGCGAATCGCCTCGATCACAAGTATTATAGGCACAGATGAACAGTGGATAGCAGTGGAATCCAGGACGTGCGTTTCGTTCCATCTTAGACTCGTCAGGTGGATGTAATTGCATCACTCACAAATTCGAACCCAGTACCGCCATCTTCAGACGCTATCACGTCATCCACTTACCTACTGAGTCCCGATAGCCACTGGAGTGGAGCATGACTGGATTTTGGTAGTCATGATTCTAAACCAGTACTTGTGGGCCCGGATAAGACCATTACCGTTTCAAACAGTCTAAATGTAGATGTCTCATGTGACGAGAAATGGCAGACCATGTGGTGATTAAAAGAAAAAGAAAAAGGGGCAAAAACAGCGTCCGTTCGGCGGATACGTCTTTGGTGGACTTTCATTCTGCATCACCGAATACACCGCAAAAGTCACAAGGTAAGATGAAACTTGACCCTAGCATGGCTGGATTGTTATTGTGAGTAATTTGAGGAGTCAAACGACTCTGATTCATAAGTTAGACATACGGATGATTTGGAAAAGGTTAAGGCATTTATCCGTAGCATCTCACAAGGTGTTTCTAATGGAGTTTATGCCGGAAATTTGACAGAGATAAAGAACTGGCGAAAATGCTGAACTTTGACCATTTAAATTTCAGAAGAAAAACTGCATCTTCTGTAAACTATTACTCAAAGTAAATATAACACCGACAGTCGAGTATGTCCTGACATGTTCATAGAAGATAGTATTTAATGAAGGCCTTAGCTAAATTATGAATCCGTCTAAAAATCTTGGCTTGACGGGTTTTCGATTAGTCAGGTCTTGAAACAGGGAATGATTGTTGTGTGGGTTCAAAAGAACAATGAAGTCTGATACGATTGTGTGTCATTCGAGGAATGAGCAGTTAAGTTTGAAACAACTGATTGACACTTTGTATGGTTCTCAGGTTTTACTAGGATGTTCTTTAATTTTGTATTCATATACGTTCGGTTGTCCCCCCTTGTGTTCTCGTTCACTACAGCAGAACCTCTTGCAATACTGTTTGAGATGTCTTTAACAGTAGAAGCTCGAAAGACGTAATATTTAGTCCGGTTCATAGAGCGAGGAGTGAAGAGTTGGTCTAGCCAGTGTAGTCGTCAAGCTAATGAGAAAGATCATCCGGCCGGCTGTTCTAAACTGTGTGATAGGGAATAATCTTTGGGCTTAAGGGAAGGTCGTTCATGGTTGACAAATTCGATTGCAAGAAAAGATTGGATTACAGTGAAAGATGGTTGTATTCCGGTAGTTACAATTTTCATAGATTTAGGTAAATTCTTTACCAAGGTTTCCCATATTGACCCTAAATTACGACTGAAAAGTTTTAGGATCCCTCACGAAATCATAAACCAGATGAGTGTCTTTTGTAGTGATAGAAAGACTGAGACACTTCAACGTATTTCCATTATCTTACATCAGGTTACCTCAGGTCAGCACCTTACGTGGACTACCCCATTGACGTATCACGGTACCATAGATGCTTTGAAGACTGTACAACACAGAGGACGTTATCACAGAAATATATTTGTTAAGGTAGATACAAACGAAAGTAAGACCACTGCCGCATGGGCCAGTCCATGGCATACGATTAACTAATGCGCGTTGTTTGTACATGACCTTGGTAGGGAGTGATGATCTGTTCGACATTCAATGATCCAGCTGCCGGATGATTTGGCTAGGGCTCAGTGACATTTTAATGGCCCTACAATACTCCCCCACCAGATTCAACGGCCGTTTGAATCGGTACCAAACATGTTGGGAGCAGTCGCGCGCCGGAGAGTGCCAAACGAATATTATAAATCCTCCAGGTATTGCTTATCTGTAAAACAAATGGAAAGGAGACGGCAGAAACTGGTCGGGAAACAGCGAATCATAATATGTTAGTAGGACGTTGGTTAAACGTAAAGCGATTAACCATAGAAATAATGAAAAGAACAAAGCGTTTAATTGTTCTATCAAGTCGCGCTGAAATATATAGCTCTGACAAGCAATTCAGTTCCTCCGATGAGAAACGTTAAGTCTGTCGCAAGAGTAATGATGCTATGGTGTCACTGCCAGGATACGAACCTGGGTTAGTGCGGCCGGATGATTTGGCTAGGGCTCAGTGACATTTCACTGGCCCTACAACCCATTAGAGTGTAGACGTCTTAGAGGTGACCTTCTGGTGGCTTACAGTATCCTTAGCACTTCTGGACATCCTCTCAAATACCTACTTAAGCTTAGTTCCAACACTAACCTAACGGGTAACACCCAAAAACTGGAGACACAACATAGCAGAACGGACTGTAGACACAACTTCTACTCCTTAAGAGTTGTCAAATGCTGGAATTCGCTGCCGGCCGAGATAGTCCACGTGACTTCCCAGGAGTCCTTTAAGAGACAACTTGATCTATTCTTAAGGATTAAGGATAGTATCACACTATGATTTACTAATTTCTTTTCCTCTTTTGTTGTTAACATAACTAGGTTCCAACCTGGAGGATTTGGTGATTCCCCGCTACTAGACACGGAAGCCTGTTAAGCGAAAGCTTCTTCTATTCCGTTGATACATTCAAGACAAGATTGAACGTCACCAGTTACAAATTGGAAGGATTAACGTATGTCTGTAAACGTATTCTAGGTACTGAAGGTTGTAGGTCAAGTATCTGTTTTTTCGAATCACTTCAAAGGTCATATTAGGCGGAGCAAGTTTAAAATAGCGCATTGTCAGGTAGCGAGGTTTCTTATTTGTTACTTCTCAACTGTTTGTGTATTTGTGCTTCTTAAATAGTCATCATGTCAACTCAAAGTGATTTATGCGATTTGGACGGGGTTGCTGCATCAGAATTGTTCAAACGAGAGCTTGGACTGACGTTTAGGTACGTTTTTTCTTCACTAGCTTCTTACGTTACAAAGCGACGTAATCATTCTACCAGGATTTGTTGGGTTTGGAAAACATGAAGTTGACATTACCAGCAAGATATGCAAACGATTTTCTCTGAGGGTTCCTTTTGCATCATCTCCTATGGATACAGTTACTGAAGCAAAAATGGCCATAGCAATGAGTGTAAGCAATCGAAATTCTACTGTACGTTATTTGACACATTAGCTTTGTGGCTCAATAGGCTTTGTTCACAACAACTGTTCCATTGAGGCTCAAGCTAGTGAAGTAAAGAAGGTCAAGGTAGGTGTACTTTGTTTGTGACACCAGTGTTTAACATAGACTACTATGCCAAACTTCACTTAGCATGTTTACGTTTCCCATTCTCTTTGTGCAGCATTTCGCTCGAACCTTGTTTTCTGTTTAAAAACTAAGCTAAAAAGAGACTAACAGGTATTATTGAAGATCAAATCGTTTACGTCTGGAGTTCCGTTTCTCGCACCGAGTAGTGAATTACTGGAATTCTCTGCCGGAACACGTAATATCAGCACGTTCTGTTAATATATTTGAAACTTGATTAGAAATCCACTGTATTGCAAACTGCAAGGATTAATATAGGTCCATAGATCTATCCTTATCACTGAAGACTGAAGTTTAAGCGTAGCTTTTATTTTGCCACCTAGTATTTCTTTTCTACCACTTCAATCTTGACTATTAAGCTAGAAAAACATTACTACTTAGCTACCTTTTGAAAGTTTCACAGCGGAAAAATTTGTGTACTTGATTATTGAGTTCAACTGATCTTGTTGTTTTATCTCCTATCAAGTTTGTGGTATTAAAGGTTCAGTTTATTCATACAGTTAGGTTTATTTGACAATGATAATCTGAGCTGCTCTTTAACGCCAAAATAATGTAACGAAACAATATCCGCACGTTGAATTGGTTCTTCGCCTTTAAGTTTAAGTCAGGCATGTCTCATGTTGGGTTCAATAAAACAGGTCCTTATTGTTTTTGTAGTAACTGATTGTATACTCAAGCTTTGGTGTACGTTTTTATTACACGTAACTTTTCTTGTTTAGAATATTATTTTCCGTGTCATTTTACATAATGGGCTTGAATGAGTACGTTTATATTGTCCTATGATAGTACCGCCGGCTTATGCCAATTTTCACATTCCCTCGGCCTTTAGGATTGAATATAAAATTATATAGACTAGCTTCATTAGTTGTTATCGCGTCAATACACAGTTCAATCATTTTGTCTCTTGTGTTGCACAAAACAAGTTATCTATTTTTATCACTTTTATTTCGTGCTATATCATTATATACTGTATCATATTCTGCGTTCTTTTTTTACTAAAGATGGTGGTATGTTATTTATTCATAAGTTAACTTATTCAGCATGCTATTTTGCATATCACATCAATGTGTAGAAAGGTTCTTTAAAAATCCTTCAAGGTGTTCCACATCGACCTTTTGTAGATGCTAACTATTGACCACTTCATGTTAATATTAAAATTTTAAACTGGCTGATAAACTGGTTTATCTTTATCAATTTTTCTCATTCAAACAGAAACATACATGCCGAGAATCAAAATAGTACTTCTCAGTTAGATCGCCATCTTAATTAGACGGTAGTTTACGGGTTCCACATTGAAACATGAAACCAATACCAGGTAGTTGATGGCGAGTCATTTAGCAGTACACATAAAATTAGGGTTGTGTGAGATTAGTGACTTCATAATAAAATACAAATATCAGTCTCATTTAATTACTTAACTAGATACGGATAAGAATAGGAGTATGTCAGCTTAAGTTCAATCATATAACAGCAAAAGATTAGTGTATAATTTTTGAACACAGAGATTAATTTTATTTGTGTGTTTGTGGTTTACAGTGTATTTATAAGGCGTGCAAATATTGTTGTGCTATGTGTGTAAATCATTAGTAGCAATAATGACCCTCAACAAACCACGGAGGAAAATGGTCATTAACTCGTTTGTTTGTGCGCTAGTTAACGTGTAATATAGTTCTTTCAGAAGATGAACTGGGCTGGCAAATATGCAATGGATGCTGTTGACACTTTATGTAGTACATCTTAGATTTCAACCTTGACGTAAATATCTTTTCGCCATATTCTCTCGGTGAATGTCTACTTTCAAGTAGGTTCTACGCTAAAATCCCCGTCAAAATTTTAAATTATAGAAAATACGGTAAACTTTGGGTTCTGGCATTTCTGTTCATAAACATGTAATCGAATTCATAATAACGTCATAAGTTCTTGATGCATAAATACGGTGAGAATAGAGGTTTCTAATTTTCTTTAGGTTCACATCATAGCATGTCATAATTTCTAGCACTGATGTTTTAGTCCAACTGAACTCTTTACACTACCCATTAAATTTACAATGTCGTTTAGTAAAAACTAGTGTCGTATACTTTTGTAAACGTCATTTCAATTTTTGTTGAACTTGGTACCACGCAATAAGCATTTTCACTCCACAGTTACTCTAGGTGTTACATACTGGAGGTTTGCACGTGTATTCTTTGTGTCGAGAGTTTCGTGTGAATATATAGTCATTTTTTTCATTTTCCTGTTATTTCAGAAATATAACCAAGGTTTCATCTTGTCTCCAGTCGTTGTTTCACCAAGGCAACCCGTTTATGATATCATTGAAATAAAGAGAAAATACGGGTTCGGTGGGATCCCTGTAACTGAGGATGGTAATATGGGGAGTCGCTTGGTCGGTTTAGTCACTCTTCGTGATGTGGATTTCTTGGACCCGAATGACTTCAACACACCTGTTGAAAAAGTTCGTCTAATTTTACATTGATTATTTTTTAAACTGCGATCTGTCCTTTAGATCAATGACTTTTGTAATACAGGAGTCATCGCTAGGAGACATTTGTTAAATGTAACTAGATACTGGACTAACATATAAATATTTGGTTTTGCAAACTATACTGTCGTTCAATGTTAGCTGAGAATATATCCGCCAGAATAATAAGTAACATTGGTGATTAGACAAGTCTTCGTTGTTAGCTGTGGACATGTATGATAAATTGGTGTACATATGCTAATTGAACTCTCTCTCACTTTGCGAAGAACCAGTTGTCATTTGAGGATGTGAACCTGTTTGTTTTCGATATTAGGCGTAGAAAAGTAAACTGTTTAACTAATGGTAGACACGATGTTTTCCCGCACAATAGTTATCCAGCAGGTGTACTCAGGCCTCAGATTTCCTGGAGTAGTCGTTATTTGGCTACGCCTTCAGAAAGAAAAAAACTATCCATGTATCACGGACACATCATTTTTCTCTGAGCTTTTGCACATTTAAAACGCAACTCGCTATGCCATTTTTTAAAACTACATGTTTACTGTACCAAATATCTGTTTCCTCGAATATTCATCCGGTCACCTTATGTACAGAGAGAGAGAGAGATTTCAACTGTATTAGCTTATAAAAACCACACGTTCTTCCGTCAAACTAGTTATTCTTTTTTTCAGGTAATGACACCATTTGATGATCTTGTTACAGCGTTCTCCGGTGTGACATTGTCTGAAGCAAATGATCTTCTGCGAAAGAGCAAAAAAGGTATCGGTGAAATAAATGATTTTCAAATATTCTATTAGTAACCTTTGGATAATTTATTAGCTTCCCTCATTAGAGTTTATTCGATGTTTCGAGGTGAAATTATTGTTTAGTGACCAATGCTATTCACTGTTTATGTAATAATTACATAGGATTAATTCTGGAAGGACATTGTTAATCGATTAGTAGGTTGGACAAGTGCACTCTAAATAATATGTATCCTGAAAGACCCGTCAGTTAGTTGCTTTAACGACCCTTGTTTTCATTTGTGAGTACTTCAACTGAATGTATTTTGATAAGAGGATGTTTCATCATATCATCATTTGGTGAAAAATGTCCCATATTTGAGTTGCTGACATTTGGCTAGTTATAGATATTGGTTGGTATAAATGATCTCACCCTACTTTATCCATTGATTGATATTTCTGAACAGTATATTTCTTAATCACAGTGTCAATTATATGGGACTTTTTATATTCGTATAAACCCAATAGATCCTACATATTTTGCAATTATACTATGTCTGAATCTCTACTGGTTATTTGAAGAATACAAACAATAAGTGAAAGTCGCTTTGATATTCTCAGTATTCAAGATTAATCTTATTATTAATTTATGTTTATGAATTCCGTTTATCAGTAGAGTTACTTTTCTGATCTTTATGTCTGCCGTTTACATATTTATAATGGGATTACTATTAGTTATATTAGGACATTGTAAAGACTAGGTTGGAAAGCATGCAGAAAACATTTGAAGACACCATTTTTTCATTAAAGTTCAAAAAACCTGGAAACAACAGTCTGTAATTTAATTTGTAGACATTTTAGAGCACGGGACTTTTTATTTATTTAGAAAAAATAAGTGGTCAATGAATTTAAAGAAAGGTTTAAATAAATAAGTTTATGTAGTTTGTCATTGATTCAATTTATATTTTGTTCTGTTTTCAACACAATATTAATATGTAGTTTGTTCTCCAGAAAATAAACATATTCTCAATATCTATCCTCTTTAAATGGGTGTATCAATCACAAATAGCATTTAAAATAACAAAATCAGTCAAAAATCCTAATTTACATTGTTTTAGGAACAAAATAACTCAATTTTCATATCGTCTACTAGATCATTGGTACTTATTATAAAGTTGACGAAAAATTTGATAAATAACTCCGAATTCATTTCTTTTTAATCACACACAGGTAAATTACCAATTATTAACGAAAATCGTGAATTGGTGGCATTAATTGCACGAACTGACTTAAAAAAGAATCAAGATCATCCACTCGCATCTAAAGATTCCGAGTGAGTTTTTTACCCAACCTTTGTTTACATATTTATACTTTGAGATCAAAAGGAAATATTAAAAATTAATCGTTGGTAAATGTTATTGAGCGTCTTTTGAATGTTATGATTGTCACAACGAGTTGTTTAGTATAAAATAAACCGTTGCATTCCAATTCCAAGTTTAATTTAATAGGTTTCATCTTGTAATCCTTAAGTTTTCAACAAATTTTTACTGCTTAGTGTAATAAAGCAACTGGAAACAGATTAATGGTAATAAAGAAAGTTATGAATTGAAGAAAAATGACAATGATGTAATCAAACTTCATAAAGTTGAAATAGTAAATGACGCAATAAATAAAAACAGGATATGTTACCAGGGCAATGAAAGATTTATTACCGCTTCTTTTTGGATACATAGATCTGGTTTTAGACGTTTGATCGCTGTCGCTTCGGCAAATTTCAGAAGATTGGAGTCTGATTGTTTATTAATCACCTTAAAAGACTTCAGTGTATCAGCTTGATGTTCTGTGTCAAGGTGTCTTGTGATGGCACTGCTGAATGCTTTTAATTCATTTGATCTTAGACTATTCAGAGTATGTTCTTTCAATCGGACGTAGGCTCATCTTTCTGTTCTGCCGATATAAGTGCTTTGGCAGATACATGTAAATTTGTATACACATTTGGTTGTATACCTATCGACCTTTAATTGTGCTAAAGTGCATGTTGTCTTGGACAGAACAATTAGTTTAGCTGCAGGATAATCAATGTAGTTCTTATCAATGTAGTTTTTAGTCTCATATTGATTGACCCTATGACATCATCACCTTTGAATTTAAGTTAAATAAAGATAGACTTTTTATTTACTATAGTCTCTTCGTTTTTTTTACTCTAACGTTTTCCACATTTCTCAATAAATTACAGTAGGTATCCGTTATTTTTTTATAACATTTTTTAACATTCATTACCTCCTCTTCTAGTGTATCAGCAGTACATATTTTTTTCTGTTCTGTGAAACTGTTTTAACAAGTGCCGTTTTGTAACTAATTGGACGTAAACTATTGAAATCGAGAGAAATCTTATTCCATATATCTTTCTTCTAAACTGAACGTTGAACTGTACCATCCTTTTGTCGTTTTATTGCGATATCGAGAAAATAGAACTTGTTTTCATTTTCATGTTCTATAGTAAACTGGATATTTGAATGGGCTTCGTTGGAAAGTTTTAGCAGATTTGTTGCATTTTGTTGATTATTACATATGGTGAAGGTATCATAAACATACCTCGAATGACACATCAATCGCTTCTTTGAGCTTGATACTTTCGAGATTAACCATGAAAAGATCTTCTAGGACAGGATCTAACTGACTTTCCATTGCTACACCATCGGTTTGTCGGTATATGATATTGTTGAACTGGAACTGAACATCTTATAAAACATTTAGTCTCTTTGATAAATTTCGATAATGCAATGACGAAGCTTATCAGATTCATGTGATATATTTACGCAATACATTTCGAACAATCTGATCACACATATACTTGTTAAGACATTTTTATGTGAAAATTAAAAGGTAAGCCGTAATAACGAAAAAAATATCAAAGTACACAAAAACGATGTGATTACCACTCCGGATAATAAATGAGTATTACCAGGGTAGGTTAAGTGAAAGGACAACTTGTTTTTGAACACATAAAAGGGGTTTCGATTTCCGTATAGCCAAGGCTTCAATAAAGCCTAGTGTACGTCCTTGAAGGCTTTTGTATAACACTACAAATGCTGACTTGATGTCAACCGTATGACCAGTCTCAATCAAATGTTTCGCAATGGATGATGATGTCTGTCTATCCTGTGATCTTGTTTGACCATTGGAATTCATTTGTTTCTGCATCCATTTTGGTGTGTTCACCCACCCTTAATTGCAAATAATCCTTTGCAAAGCATCTTTTGTACACATGATTAACAGTCGTTTGGATTCTGATGCTGGTAGAGGTGGGATGTCAGGATGCTGTCAAATTATGTCTATGGTTTCAAGAAGTGGTATTTTTTAACAACGATATCACATCAGAGGAAACCATAAGCTTACCGGCAATATTTATGTGGTTCATGCAGTCAGCAAATCCAAATGAATCCTTTAATGTATACGTGACTAATCGTTGACTGGTTAGCGTTTTTTTAGCGAGTTAGTTTTCTATAGGATGGGATCGCTAACCCCATGCCCAACCCTCCTCCTTTACCCGGGCTTGGGTCCGGCAGTAACTCTAGAAGAGCTACAGGCGGAGTTTAATCGTTGACTAACTGGTTCTGATTTATCCGCCAACCATTGTGCGATTTTCTGGTAGGGTGAATTGACCATTGACAGAATAGGTCCAAGAGGAATACCTTGTTTATGTATTTTTGGTAAACCGTACATATTGAGCAAATGAGATCCACAAAGTCGTAGCTTATTGTAAGTGAAATTATCGATCGTCTTCAGGAGATCCCTAAGTACTTTTGTGATTCTTTTCTCAGTTGATTCACTTAAGTCCTTTTGTCGATTCTGTTGGCATATATGTTGGGGATATGATTCAACAAAGCCCTTGTTACTTTTATCTATAATCTTCCGATAGTGAGATTAAATCAGATAGAAACAGAAGCTTTGCCACTTTTATTTAAATTTCATATTGTGTTTTGAATATGTTTCATGTAAAATGATTTATATTCACATCATATATTAAATTCAAAAGTCAAACATGATTGTAAAGAGGGTTTTTGGTTACCTTACTGATTTTGGTTAATTCCATGTAGCCTGAAACGGGCTTCCGAGTTACAACTCTGGAACTAGTTCGTTTTAGTCATTAAAATGCTTACAAATATGATCTCATTGTTAATGCTAATGTTAATGTCAAGGATATATTTATTAAACTGTAAACAGTTAATCCGTCAAACCACTATTTTATCCTAAAATATTATTATACTGGATGTATAAATGGGCATTCAAACCAAGAGAGTGGCAGGAAAATGTTAAAACACTAGTCATCTAGTACTTATTATGTAGATTCTGTAAACTTAAACACTATTATTTTGGCCACTTTTGGTATCTGTTTGCAAATGTCAATTTTAAACCAAACTATAGCTTGTTTTTTTTTAACTATTATGTTTAAGTAATATAAAAATGATGGAATAATATGAATACTTTATTATGAGGCCCATTGAGTAAATGTGAACATTTAAACGTACAAGCGTTATTTATTATAAAATATAAGATATATAATCCATATCATAAACCAGATACTTAAATGAAAGAAATATCTGAACTTCCATCACAGATATGTTTCATGGTCTGATTATATTTCAGGTTTATTAAAACTTAATAATAGTTATGCATAGTAAATAATAGATTTGTTTACTCATAAAATTTCTTTGTTTTTTTCTCAGAAATCAGTTAATTGTTGGTGCAGCTATTTCAACACAAGAGCGTGATTTTGATCGTGTCGATGCTTTGGTTAACGCTGGAGTCGATATTATTGTTATAGTGAGTATTCTGTATTTTTGATTATTTTGGCATACTTTTTTTATCATTCTACAACAATTTTAGCCTTTTTAATTCTCCGTAAACTTATATTTAAATGAATTTGATAAATAAAAATAACTGAGTGAAGTTCGAACCTGGAACTCAGTGTTTGAAGTCAAATGGTCAAACATACACACACATACTTAATCACTACTTTACGTGTACTAGAGATACAAAGTCACTTCATACTAGTTTCAGCAGCGTTATCATCTGATACTTTACGATACTATTATACAGTAATGTTCGGGATTAATGAAATGAATCAAGTCCTTCACTTGGTTTTTGTCCGCATTCGTCCAGAAAAGCTTGTCTTCTGTGCTTATAATTCCTTAATAAATATTCTCATTGCATCAATGCAACAGTTTGGGTACAGTTTAAAAAACTTCAATAGATTTAACAAATAATAATTTTGTTTTATTTGTCAAAACTGTCATTAGTACATAGGTTATCTTGTTAATAATATTCAAACAGAAAATATTTATTCTATTATACTAATATATACTTTTAAAAAATAGCCCTCAAATGCCCCGGTACGGCTGAGAGTGGGGAGAGTCATCTCTCCTTCTCGAAATGCTCTCACTTGGCCACGTGCATACAACCACTGCCAGGCAAGTCCTACTCACTGCCTTCTCGCGGCACCAGTGTTTTTAAAAAAAGTGAGGGGGCGAAAAGTGAATGTCCGATGCTTTAACCGGGTTAGTGGGCATGGAGGGTTCACCTAGGGGAGTTGGAAAAACCTGATTCCAAACCAATGGTGCACATGGGTTCCAGTATCATGAAGGAACAAATGGCGTATGAACTAGTCGTTGATCATCGGTTACTATGGGACTGCATCTCCTGATGTTGCTCTACTGCCTTGTAGATTAGACCTTTAGGTCAAAGGCTCGGGGTGTGGCTCCCTAAGAAAACCACCTGATTCGGTTTGGGCACCCGGGCAGTATCACAGCCGTCACACAAATCGGGTGATTTTTGTATTTTATATATTATTATTGTATTGAACCTGTTACTCTCAATGGAGCATAGGCCGCCGACCAGCATTCTCCAACCCACTCTATCCTGCGCCTTCTTTTCTAGTTCCATCCAATTCCTGTTCATTTTTCTCATGTCTATCTCCAATTCTCGGCGTAATGTGTTCTTTGGTCTTCCTCTTTTCCTTTGACCGTCAGGATTCCATGTGAGGGCTTGTCTTGTGACGCAGTTGGGTGCTTTCCTCAATGTGTCCTATCCACTTCCAGCGCTTCTTCCTGATTTCTTCCTCCACTGGGATCTGGTTTGTTCTCTCCCACAGTACGTTGTTGTTAATAGTGTCCGGCCAATGGATCTGAAGTATTTTGCGTAGACAACTGTTAATAAACACCTGTATTTTCTGGATGATGGCTTTCGTAGTTCTCCAGGTTTCTGCCCCATACAGTAGAACTGTCTTGACATTTGTATTGAAAATCCTGACCTTGGTGTTGGTTGACAGTTGCTTTGAGTTCCAGATGTTCTTCAGTTGTAAATATGCTGCTCTTGCTTTGCCGATCCGCGCCTTCACATCTGCATCAGATCCATCCTGTTCATCAATGATGCTGCCCAAATATGTAAAGGTTTTTACATCTTCCAAATCTTCTCCGTCAATTGTGATTGGATTGGTGCATGCTGTGTTGTATTGGAGAATCCTGCTTTTCCCTTTGTGTATATTGAGACCTACTGCTGCTGAGGCTGCTGCCACACTGTTTGTCTTCTCCTGCATCTGTTGTTTCGTTTGCGATAGGAGGGCCAGATCATCTGCGAAGTCTAGATCGTCCAACTGCATCCTAGATGTCCACTGCATCTCGTGCTTCCCTTCAGACGTTGACGTCTTCATGATCCAGTCGATCACCAGGAGAAAGAGAAAGGGTGAGAGTAAGCAACCTTGCCTAACACCGGTCTTCACCTCGAACGACTTTGTCAACTGTCCTCCATGCACAATTTTGCAGTGTAATCCATCATATGAGTTCTGTATGATATTGACTATCTTCTGAGGCACGCCGTAGTGTCGAAGAAGTTTCCATAGTGTTGTTCCGTCCACGCTGTCAAATGCCTTTTCCTAGTCAATGAAGTTGATGTAGAGTGATGAATTCCATTCAATTGATTGTTCCACAATGATCCGTAGAGTTGCGATTTGGTCTGTACACGATCTATCCTTACGGAATCCTGCCTGTTGGTCACGAAGTTGGGCGTCTACGCAGTCCTTCATCCTGTTTAACAACACCCTGTTGAAGACCTTTCCCGGTATTGAGAGAAGAGTGATGCCCCTGTAGTTATCACACTTGCTGAGATCGCCTTTCTTCGGTATTTTGATTAGAAGTCCTTCTTTCCAGTCTGTTGGTACTTGTTCCTCATCCCAAATCTTATTGAAGAGAATGTGGAGTATCCTTGCAGTTGCCGCTACGTCTGCTTTTAGTGCCTCTTCTGGGATGTTGTCCGGTCCTGCTGCTTTGCCACTCTTGTTTTGTCTGATAGCCATGCTGATTTCTTCTATTGTTGGTGGGCCAACATTGATTGGGAGGTCCGTGGGTGCTGCTTCGATGTTGGATGGGTTCAGTGGCGCTGGTCGATTCAAGAGTTCTTTGAAGTGTTCTACCCACCTGTTTTGTTGCTCTTCAATGTGGGTGATTACCTCACCTTCCTTGCTTTTCACTAGTCGTTCTGGTTTGCGGCGATTTCCAGAGAGTTTCTTTGTTGTGTCATACAGTTTTTTCATGTTTCCTTCTCTTGCAGCATTTTCTGCCGTCGTTGCTAAATCTTCCACATATTTACGTTTGTCGGTTCTGATGCTCCTCTTCACTTGTTTGTTTATTTCCGTGTATTCAGCTTGTGCCTTAGCTTTTTCTGCTCTTGTTCGGCTGGTATTGATCGCTGCCTTCTTGTTTCTTCTTTCTTGAATCTTATCCAATGTATCAACAGTGATCCATTCCTTGTGGTGGTGCTTCTTGTGACCCAGGACCTCATGAAATGTTGAAGTGATTGCTAGTTTGATCCCCTTGCAGTTGCTCTCCACAGTAGTTCCTTCTCCATTGAGTAGATCATTAAAGGCCTGGAACTTGTTGCTGAGGACTATCTTGAATTTGTTGGGTTTGTTAGTATCCTAGAGAAAGGCCGTATTGAACTTTTGTGATACTGTCTGCCCCGTTGTCCAGTGCTTCTTGAGTTTCAATTTCATGTTGGGGACCAGTAAGTGATGATCTGATGCTATATCAGCTCCTCTCTTGGTTCTCACGTCCTCTATAGTCCTCCTGAACGTTTTGTTGATGCAGATATGGTCGATTTGGTTTTTTGTAGAGTGATCCGGTGAAGTCCATGTGGTTTTGTGTATGCGTTTATGTGGGAATACGGTGCCGCCTATGACCAGCTTATTGAAGGCACGTAGATTTGCAAATCTCTCACCATTTTCGTTTGTTTAGCCTAGTCCGTGTCTTCTCATGATGTCTTCATATCCGGTGTTATCCATTCCAACCTTGGCATTTAAATCTCCCATCAGAATGATCAGGTCCTTTGTTGGGCACTTCTCGACGATTGACTGCAGCCTATTGTAGAATTGATCTTAAGCGTCTTCATTGTAATCATTGGTAGGTGCATAGCATTGGATGATGTTCATTGAAATGCCCTTTTCTTTGTTTTAAACGAGGCTTTGATGATCCTTGGTCCATGAGATTCCCATCCTATAAGCGCATTTTGCGCTTGTTTGGACAGCATCAATGCAACTCCTTGTGTATGTGGTGCATTTTCTTCTTCATGGCCGGAGTATAACAGGAGCTCTCCTGTAGTTAGTCGTTGTTGTCCAACTTGTATCCAATGTGTTTCACTGATCCCAAGTACCTCCAGCTTGTATCTCCTCATTTCTGCAGCAATTTGGAAGACTCTCGCAGTCTCCCACATTGTACGAGTACTCCATGTACCTAAATAAATGGTCGCTCTGGTTGTCAGAATGGGCATCGGCCTCGTAATTTCCGAAGGAATTCGGCTTTCATCATGAGGCGTCATAATTCTTCTAAATGAAGGTCTTCTGACACCCAGGGCAGAGTTTAAAAGGTTTGAATAATTTTTTCTGGTTAGCGTTTTTTTAGCGAGTTAATTTTCTACGGGATGAGGACGCTAACCCATGCCCAACCCTCCTCCTTTATCCGGGCTTGGGACCGGTAGTAGCCCCCGGAGGGACTCCAGGCGGAGTTGGATGATTTTTGTGGCTCATATTTATTCGGTGCACCCATGTACCAATATTTATGTGTTTAAGTAAATAAATAATAAATGTAAACAATAGGTCAATGTGATGTGTTTTTATGAATTGGATTTTGCTGCTTTTGTTTTAAGACACTAAGAAATTATAGGGTTTATAAATGTGTGGATATTGTTAACTGATAACAGCAGTAAAAAAATTAATTCATTATCATTCAGTCTATCATTTGTATGCATTGTAACGCGACTATTTAAACTTTTCGGGATATATTCCTCATCCCACCACGTACGTATGTATTTGTGTATAATCTATATCCTTATTCGAGTATCAAAGGGAAAAAGAATTGTACTCTTGTGAATTTCATTATGTTGCATAATTTTATGTACAAAGTACATTTTTGTTTGGTCTCCATGGTAAACTGTATCAAACTCTTCTTCTAAGTCACTGATCGATTAGTTTATTTTGTGGCTGAAAATGAATGGTTGTTTTCGTTTTCTTAAGCTACTTATAGAATATTTACTGTTTTCTAACTGGGAAATACAAAATTCTTATAACTTGAAATTAATAGTAATCGAAACGTATTAAAGAAATTATCATACACTGACTGTATATTATCTTGTTAAATTGATTTTTCACGAGTTTGTATTTAATTTACTTTCGAAAGCATAGTAAATACAATTTATTCCTATGCATTTAAACAGTTACTGTTTTAATTTTTGATGAACACTTGTTGTTAAAATTAAACTAAATGTAGCTCGTTCTCCAAGTATTTGGCTATTAAACACACTCTAAGTGTAAGGGCTGGTGATATTACCCGATGATTAGACCGAATTATATGAAGCGAGGTTTGAGCCTGCGATTTATTGACTGAATGCCTAACTGCTAAGACGCCATTTCTAGAATATAAGTCGATAGGATATTTCGATTTTAGTAAAATAATTTTACTTTACCAATAGGTATCTTCATTGTTTATAATGCTTCAATATTCTGGTTTATAGATAATAGTTGACTGATTATCTGTGATTCATCTGAAATATATACGAAGCAAGTATACTGATTTAGACTTGATAATATTTTATTCATTTCGTATAGGTTCTTTCATCGTCGCTTATTCAGAGATCACTGTGATGATCGGTATTTCACTCGTTGGGTATCATTTTGTCTTAGAATTTAAACATGGAACAATACTGTAAAAAAATATTAAACGAATTTATTAGCCCATTTCTTCATAAACGAACAAAAAACTATTGTGGAATGGTTAGTGGAGCATGTTTAACGTTAATTCATTCATAATTGGGATTTATTCAGATAAGAGTACTCAGAATTTCGATAAACAACATAGGTAGCGGATACGTAACTCGTAACTACCAAAAACAAAAAGGCTAGAAATATGACCTTAGTCATGAATGCCTGACTTACAAAGAAGCCTAATAAAAGTCAGATTTGATGGACTTTTTCTTTAAAGGTTTGTTCTGTTATGTTTCCGATTAAGTAAATATTCTACTCAAGTCTTTATAACACCTACTGGTTAGTATGTAATACACATGAATTTCAATCTTTCTGATTATAAACAGGCGTCAAATCTGCAAAATGTATTTGTGTACTTATCAGATGTAATTGGTTACTTCAATTTAAATATACATGCATATCTATGTGTTAAAAAAGGGCACTAGTTTAAATTGTCGAATCATTTATATTCTTGACTTTGCTAATGCTGACTTTAGGGTATTTTTAGTGTGAAAATAAGCATTTATATAATGCTTGCTTATAATCCTTCTCATACCCTCCTACGTATCTTTACCATGTGTGATCTGTATTTTGCTAATCCAAAGTAAAAAGATTTGCTCATTTTTGTATTATTTGTTTGATTCTTTCCATTGACGTTTAGGACTGCAATTGATCTGTTTCTTATTGGCGTATATGCATCATATGCTGATTGCCTCGATATTGCCTTAAGTCACAAGCGTTATAAACAGAGATGGATGGTGGCTAGCAGTGAATTGATCGATTACAGTCCTAAACATTAAAGGGAAAATTCGAACAAACAATCCAAAAATGAATTAAAATCTCACCCCATTGCACATGCTTGTGTTTATCAGGACTCAGTAGCTAAGTAGTTAGGGCGATGGCGTTTAAGGCAAACAGATCTGGGTGCGAGTTCCGAAATGAACATCAACTCCGTGATGCAGTTACATCCAGCTGACGCGTCCGAAATAGAACGAAACGTGCGTCCTGTTTTCCACTGCTAGCCACCATCCATCTTTAATTAAAAAGACTGTATTGGCTTATATTACTTACGCATTTACCTGTTCAATTAGGTACGCCAGACTTTCTATAGAGCAGATAAATCATTTAGTGAAATTGTGAACGCTAATTAGTTAAAATAACTCGAATACATGTTATATGTATCCAGTTACTGTTTATTCGACATTTGATAGTCACTAAAAGTAGAAACATAATTTTATTACTGTAACTAAACTGTATGGTTATAAAGTAAGGACTGATGTTATTGGTAGAAATCTATTTTTAGGACTAAAAAAGACATGTAAAATTGTATTTTAGGTTATAATTTCAGCAATTCAAATCTAATTAGTTCCAATATTTCACTCTGAAATCTAGTCCGAGCTTCAGGTATATCATCAAAATGATCAAATTTAAATTAGGTTAAAAAAATCATATACTTAACTCTAGTCCAGTTGTGTTCAAATATTGATTTTATATGCAGATGAATATGGGTCATGTAACATGAACTATGATCAAAATGCACTATTTGACGAATATGTGCACGGTATTGTTATTAAAACCCTGTGGACAAATAAAGTGATTAGGGTCATATTCATGGCTTTTTCTATTGTAGAACTAAAAGTACGTTGGAGATTATCAAATTATGTGTGGCAATCAAGCAGTTAATCATACAATTGGATGTATGTTGTTATGGATGTCCATGTTACTGATGTTACAAAAGGAACCAGAAATAAAATATATTATTAGATGGTGGTTGGAGGTAGTCAACAGGAAACCCTGGACCCGGGTTTCGTGCTACTTGGCACTCGTCAGCAAGGTGTACCTGTAATCTTGAGGGAACTGGTGCTCCCTGGCGGATTCGATCTCGTGTCACCCAGCTTCACAGTCAGAGACGTTACCACTGAGCTATCCGAGCCGTGACTAACCTCCTGTAGGACTGAGATGTAATCACAATTGATTGATCACTGGGTGGTGATCAATCTCATGCTTGCTTGCAACATGATCGATAGCATTCGATCTGCACTAATAAGGACTAGACAAGCATGAGATTGATCACCACCCAGTGATCAATCAATTGTGATAAAATATATTATTTTTCGATAGTGTAATAAGAAGACGATCATGAAAAGTATGTGATATATTATCGCAATACATTTCGAACAATCTGATCACACATGTACTTGTTAAGAACATTTATATATAAAAATAAAAGGTCAAGTAGACTAGAAATGGAGGGTAAGAGGAGACAAGCATAATAAAGAAGTAATGTGAAAACAATTCGAAATCTCATCACTCTGGATAATAAGCTAATATTAACAATGTAGATTTAAGGTGAGAACAAACTATTTTTTAATACACAGAGGGGGTTTGAATTTTTCGTATAAATTTTCTTAACAAGTATATGTGTGATCAGATTGTCCAAAGTGTATTGCGCTAATATATCACATGGTTCTGATAATCTTCGTCTTATTACACTACCGAAATTTATTAAAGGGACTAATTGCTTTATATTATTTCATTAACCAACAACACTATAGCCTATCTTGTTTATTCAGATTGTTTTAGATTCTCCAATATATGTTGGGCTTTGTTCAGTCAGTCAGCTACAACGTAGGACCAGTCACATCTATGCATCAGTCCAAGTTGCAATACCTCATTAGCATAATAAGATAAACACCGGATTCATAGAAGCAGTTAGTTCAATGGTAGTAATATATAGAAGAAAGATTGTGTATAAGGATGTAGTACAGGAAGAAAGAATTAGTTCGTAGAAAGAAAGATATGAAGCAATCTTAATCTCACGATTTAAGGGAAGACAAAGAGTGTTTACACCAACGCCATTGTGATCGATTCTGAGCCATGTAACTCAGAGTCTCCATCCATTGCTTACGATAATTACACGGATAATCCATTCTGAAGGATTTTAATCCATCATGGTCGATTTACCCATCTATTTTCGTCGTATGTATAACTATAACTGATCTCTTTTTAAGTGTCTTAGAGTTTTCTTATAATTTGGGGACATGTGTGTATTCTTTAAGTTTCACATTCAGCTGTTTAAATATTTCTTCCATACATACTGTATTGAATTTCGTAGATATACTTTTGTTGTTCATCTTATAAAATTATACTTTCGATTTTTACCAATAATGACTTAAAAACAATCACTGGTACATAATCTTAATTTTATACCATGTTTTGTTTTTGTTTTTCAAAATTTGTCTAAGTTTTTTTCCGATGTTTCTTTACTATTTGAAATGAATGTAGTGTGTCAATACAAACTGTCTATGGACATTTTAGTTTTCTATTTCTCTTTCATTTTCATTTAACATTACTTCTTTATTTTTTCTTTAATACAGATTTTCTGAGTTCATTCATTACCATAAATGTAGATATGACTAAATTTATTTCAACCTGTTCTCCTTTGTTGTTCCCTGTTATAAGACAACTGTTTTTGTTTATCAGTTCTTGAACAACTTGGATCATGTGATGATTTTCCGTCTAGATTATTTTTCAGAATCTGTTTATTTTTGAAAAATACAAATTTTTGTATTATTATTATTATTATTATAATGATGATGTTTACTTTCACTAGAATAACCGAGGTATGTTAGTTTATTATCATAAGATTTTGTCTTTATGTAATGTTTTATGTAATCAAAGTGGTCTTATCATAACAAATCTCATTCATTGTTTACATTACTTTCAATCTCTTATCATACGATATAGTTTCAATCATGGTTATATCTTTACCGTTTAAAGTCCTCTTCATTTATAATTTTGAAATTTTGTATTTCGAACCATTGTATTATTGTTATAAAAACTACTTTAGGTTCTGTTAAAAAAAGTCAAATATATTCTCTACAATAGTGAAATTTTAAAATCAAGTTAAAAGTACATATGTTTAAACGATGGAGCTTCTATAAACAAATACTTGACCTATGCTTACTTAAGTTTATTCCTTAATTATTAGTCTGTAATTATCTGTTCAATGATGATTGTATCATCATTTAAGGTATATTCTACGAGCATCTTGATTTCATCCTTTTTTTCGTCTGGTATTCAAAAATTGTATCAGTCGATATATGCCATTTTTGTTATTCAATATTTTATACTTTTATTTTTTAGGATTCTTCTCAAGGTAATAGCATCTATCAACTAGATATGATAAAGCGCGTAAAATCTGTATTCCCAGATTTACAAATAATTGGAGGAAATGGTAAAAAAAAGTTTTACTCTCAATTAAAATTGTTGTGTTCCATGTCAATTGTATTCCGGTTGTTTCAAGTATTTCCTGTTTTTGTCTTGTTATCCATTATTTTTTTCGAATCAAACAATTGTGGATATCTGATAGTTATCCAAAGGAATTTCATACATTTGCATCAGATATCTTTGAAGTGACTTAGTTTATTAAGGTTATACATACATATTGATATAATTTGTAAAACGCTTCGATGATTACATTGATTTCGCTATACACTTAGTCATTACTATGGGTGTTTATACATATTTCGATCAGTATTGCAAGCTCACAACAGGTATAGTGATCCCGTAGTATCACAATGTAACAGCTAATTATTGAGTAATATTAAATATCTTACTACCTCTTTATGGGAATTTAACATGGGGTTGAAAAGTTTAGTGACTTTTTACTGTTGTAATTCATAAAACAACTGAAGCTAATTGTCAATTAATCAACTTTTAAGCCGACTTGAATTATACTTTAAAAAATTTCACTCGCTCTAACTCATACTCGAAACATTTTCCCGTAGAGTCAAATAGTGTTATTTTAGGCTTATTTTAAACCGAAAGTTGTTGACAGTTGTAGAGCTGTTGTCAATGCCAGCTAATGTACATTTGATAATTAGTAAAACGACGAGGTATCTAGTTGTATTATTGTTAACTTAATTTAACAGAATTTCAATCGACAATTTGTTTAGACTGAACTATCCTGGAATAATGCAATTAGATGATCTGTTCTGAAAATATGTGTACATATTTATTTGCTTCTACTAAGCATTTGGTACATATATTTGTTTCAGAATATAGCACGACTCAAATACCGATTTATACAGATGATAATACTTTACGGTTATTTTTAGTGATGATTGACAACTTATTTTTTGGCGCCTATGCTCTCCTTATAGGTTATAGCATCCGTCTTCTGTTAGTTATGTTTGAGTAATAATTACTTACTAAAGTTGATTGTTCAATCTAATCCTTTCAACCGAACACATATTTAAACACAAAACAAATAGGACAAAACGCACGCCCTGGATTCCACTGTTAACCACCATAAATCTTTGCTAATAAAGCTTGTGATCTAAGGCAATATCGAGGTAGGATGCACATATGCCAACAAGAGACTGATCAATTGCAGTCCTAAGTAACAATGGGAAGATTCAAGTAAAGAACATTAAGTGAATACACAACATATAGCTTGAAAACTAGTTATTTCTAGCTAGACAACACGAAAAAATTGACATGATCGTAAATCATTTTAAATATGATTGATTGTAGAATGATGATTTACAGATCATTTATTAGCTGATCATTCGTTTTTATAGAAAAAAAAACCTGACTTTCATGTTTAATTCATACTTGTTTATGTCAAATTTAATGTTTATTTTTTGTTGGCTTAGGATTAACTATTTTATTATACTGTGCTAACCATTTAAAATGATGTGCAATTATATTATGATTTTAAAATCAAATATAGTTTGACTGCTGAACTTAGTCACGTTCATACATTCGACATATAAATGTTTATTGTTTTTTAATAAAGGAGAATAAAAAGGTCATCGCAATATTTTACATTATATCTAACATTTTTTTCAAGTTCTACTAATCTGGGTACAGTTTTGAGTATCATACGTTACATAGCACACATCGAGATTACGTTAAAGAGGTTTTCATCATCTGTAAATTGAGTTATCGTTCAGATTTACGTGTGTTAACATTTTTAAAGAAGTTCGTACAAAGAAACATCTTTCAACTGAGTAATTGGCTATTGTTTCGAGATCAATAATTTACGCCTATTTATAAACAAAACCTACTAGAAACATAAATATTGCTCAGTTGAATTGGTTTATTTTTTGGTTGTGTTTACTCAACGAACAGTACTTAAATTGAAATATCTTAGGTAATATAGTACATATTCAAAGTATTTGGTGATAGACATAAAACTAGTTCATTACTAATGAACTTCTAATTATCATTGGTATCTAGTAATATTAATTGATATTTCTGTTGCCTAATGAAGTTGTTAATTTCGAAACTTATTGAAATTAGCAACCTTAACCGTTTGTTTGATGTGATAAAGGTATGCGGCAGGGAAAACAGTAATTTCATGTGTATAAAGTCCTTACTTCAACTAACTTGTCATATTCGGTTAGGAACTTTCCAAATTCTTTATCTTTTTTCTCTAACAATTCTGGTTTTCAAACGTTGACCTCTTGTTAGGAACTAATATTCCCTGGAAGAAACGTTTGTTTGATTGATTGTCTTTTCTTTTGATGTTATTTTGTTCTGGTTCTGAAGATCGATGACATATGTACAAGCTGTATTGTATCTGCAACTATAGCATGTCACGTCGATACTTTAGGTCCCATCATGTTCTGACTGGATGAGTTCTCTTCGGCTCCTTCAGAGCCTCTGAAGGCTTCGTTGTGATTTTTGGGAGTCATCCCAACAGCTTTCTAGAATAAGATTTTCTTCCGGGATCCACTCGTAATTTGATAACTGGTTTTAGGCAACGTTACATTTTTTTTATTGTCTTCCTTACCCAAAACTTCATTCTTTTGTTCTTTACGGTATTCTTGGACGTTTCTGCCATTGAAGTATCTGTGATTATCTATAATGGTACATTCACTTGACCGTCTCTGGTGTGCATCGTTCTTCTAAATTTATGGATTTCGTCCGTATGTATAATGCATGTTCGGAAAGCTCCTCGGACCTTATACAAAACTCTGTCCAATGTTTGTACAGTTATCCCTGGTTCCCATCAATTCCTGATTTGGTATGATTTGACAAATACTCTTCTCCCTACATCAAACTACAAATATATAGCTACATTTTCTATGGACATCTACCTTTCTGACGTTGAAAATCGTCCAGGTGCTTCTCTCAAACATGATCTCAGCCTGTGACTTCCCATCTGGCACTACAGGGTTGGGGGTTATTCTGTAAGATGTTAAAAACTTGGCGATTACTTTACTCGGCATTCCGTCTTCCCTCCCTTTAAGCAGCACTCTCTCGAAGGTGTCCACCAAGCGTTCTGCTTGTCTATTAGACTGAAAATGATAGAGTGGCGAGTATAAGTGAATTATCCCATTCATATCACGGAATTTTTTGAACAGGTGAGAAGCAAATTGAGTGTCCTTGTCTGTTACTAAGGTCTCTGGCACTTTGAAACAGCTAATCCAAGCAGACAACTTGTTGATTGTTTCTTCGGCTGTACAGTTTGACTTAGTATATTTTTCCGGCCTCCTTGCAAATACATCCAAGATAACTGGAAATATTTTCCATCGGACTGGATCAGCAAAATATATACATAATTTCATTCAGGGTCTGGCAGGCTTTGTCAACTGCTGTGGTTCACATTTCGAAGGGTTTTTAACAGCTTGTAGGGCAGACGGACATTTGTGGCAATTGTCTTCGATATCTCTGTTCACTGGTTGCCAATAAGCATATCTTCGAGCCAATGATTTCGTTTTATTGACCACTGTGAAATTGCTTGAGAATCATTTGTCGTAGTAATCCTGGAATAACAGTTCGGTCGCGGGATATAATACTAGAGTCGCCAACCATCATTGAGTCTAATCGACGAAGGTATTAAAAAAGCTCTCTTTTCTTAAAAACAATGGTTTTGCCATCTATCCCAACATAAAGCTTGTCATATTACAGAATATAAATACAAAAAATATTGATTTTACACTGACATGTTCGATAAAAGTTCTAGATCCATTTTTTCCTAAACGAATTTAACCGTCCATTACTTCAAACTGTGATTGCTTTGACAAACGTTTGTATAGTATACCGGTTTCATTAGATGTAGGAAATATATAAACTTATAGATCTTAGATGAGGAACTGGGGAAATCTCTTGATACAATGTAGACAATTGTTGATGTTTCGTTAGGAGTATATAAAACGCTATGGATGTGTAACTTAATACTTGCATGAAATATAAACAGGGAGTTTTCATAATCTTATATCACATAAAAAATTAAAATGTCGAGCATGTGACATCCATTCATTTGTTTATCTATTTATTCATTTAAGTTACGCCTTTTTGGGAAATAATCAACTTCTGACCGATTTTTTATGTATTTAAAGATTATCCTTCATGTTTCCAGGCGACCACAATATATTTGTACATGCACTTTCTTGGTTGATGCAATTAATAATTAGTGTTTTATAACTGTTTTCTTTCAAATGAAAACATTTAAATTGTTTTGATGTATATGATCGGTTTGGGCACCCGGGCAGTATCACAGCCCTCACACAAATCAAATGAGATTTGTGTGGCGCACATGTTTTTGGTGCCTCTTTGTATCAATATCTATGTGTTAAAATAAATAAATAAATAGATCAAGTTTTATATTTTTCTCAATATTATTTGGTCTTAAAGATACGAAAAGACGTTAGTGAAATTCGATAGCACAAATAGAATTATCGTTAGTATTCAGAAGTTAAATTTAGAGTTAATAAAAGGTCCATAGATATTTCTATTCATACCATTCTTATTCTATTCTAATCCGAGACTATTATTGTATTTGTTTGATTTTCGATAACGGCTACAATAGTTTGTTATAAATAGATTGATTATTGACTTCCTATTTGAGAACATACTGGTTCTACCCTACACAAACAATCGAAATATGTTAGTTCTGAATAGATCTATTGTTCAGCAGTATTTGTTTATGATGCTAATCATAGCTAATAGTTTTTTTCTATGCATAATAATTATTTATTCCAATTATTCCGAGTTGCCTGTACTCGTTTCCAGGTATTTATAACTAGCATTTTTTTAGTCACAGGTGATATGTTATTCAATCCTATTTGTTTAGTTCTTTCTTTCGAATTATTTTAATACATCGATCTCATTCTTGAATGGTAGTGATAATGGTTAAAAAGTTTGTCGGTATCATCTTTGTTTACAGAACTGAAAGAGATTGGTTTGTATTTCTGCGATACAGTTAGCTTTTCTAACATAGTAGATAATCTGAGTCTATATACTCGTATTATAAAACTTTCAACAAATAAATTAGATGTACAAAATAGTATCACGCAAATGTTGTATTAATCTCTTTGCTAAGAGTTCATATTCTCTTTAGTGGGGACATGTTAAAAGTAAAAACTCTATACATTTTGCATACATATGTATTCGTGCTGTTGTGATGTGTTGTTTGTATGAAAGTATGTAATTCAATCTCACCGATATACTTAATCATTGTTATTTAATCGATTCCGTTATACCTGTTTCAGTTAGATTTCGAGTGTTTCGGTCGATAGAACGTTTTAATATGTTAATAATTTATAACTTTACTCATAGACCAACGTCTAATAAATGAACAAAATGTATGAAACTTTACGGCTAGCATTAGATCGAATTCCACATTCTTAGAGTAACAATTAATTGTAGTAAATAAATAATATATTTGTAATATCCCGAATGATAGGAAAAACAGATTTTTTGGCGTTTCGTGACTTAGTGTATGCCACTTCTTCAAATAATAGATAATTGATAAATAAATAAATGATTATTTATTCTCTGAAAAAGTGGCTTGTTCTAAGTCACGAAACGTCAGGAAATCTATTTTTCTACTCATTGGGATATAACAAATATATTTCTTATTTATTACAATCTACCCAATGCTCAATTTATTTGAAATTATCAAGTTTTAAAATACAAAAATTGCCGGTCGCTTAATGAAAATCTTGGTAATGATACCTACAAATTAATTGTAGTCTCGTAATATGTATGTACTACCACCTAACATAGAAATGTAATTGGAGTATTCTTGAAACATCTAAAACAGCTTTGGCTTGCTGTTAAACTTACATGAAAATAAGCTCGATATGCTTGTCTATGAAGGTGTATTCGTGCAAATCTATAGTGTCTTCAGTGCTTCCATAGCAAATTTTTGTAGTGTTGGTAAGTTTTCTTTATTTATCTTTTCACTACTTATAAGTAAGCAAAGTAGTTTACGAATGTTTTTAGATAATTTTAAATTTCACTTTTAATTGTTTATCTAATGGAGATAGATAAGCATAAAAAATAGAAATATTTACTGAGTGTTCCATTAAAATTTATCTACTGAACTTTAAATATGAGGTTAATGTCAGCCCATCAATTTTTCAATAGTTCTCTAAATAATCTAAGAAGTTTCTTTTGATGAATGAATGGCTTTCGATAGAAAAAGTCACAAATTAAAACAAGTTTATCTACCATCGTTAGTAATAGACACAAATAATACTCATTGTTTACTATATATAATTTCTTTTTTTTCCATGAACAAGTTGTTACCTGTGCACAAGCGAAAAATTTAATTGATGCTGGTGTGGATGGGTTACGCGTTGGAATGGGCAGTGGATCAATTTGTATTACTCAAGAAGTGACTGCTGTTGGTAGATCACAAGCTAAAGCTGTTTATAAAGTAGGTTTAATTTGAACTGCATTGGTAAACTACATGTATATGGGATATAAACTACCGCTAATTAGATAGAGAATAACAAATAAATAAATTGTATTCTAGAAATTATTACAGAATGAATACCAATTTAACAGACATAATCAGGTTAGTAGTAAGATTAAATTTTTTTGAAAATATGTTCGTAAATTGTTGCGGAAGGAAGGATATGTGTGACAAGTGTCATAATGAAGACGACAGCTGGGAACTAGATATTCTTAGCAGAGGAACTGGAACCTCCTATAGAAGTATGTATAGTGTGTTGAGGTACAATTCCAGAGTCATTACAGAGTAGTTTTAATCATCTACAACTAGAAAAATAAAACAGAAACGGAGAGCACAGAACAACATCAAAGATTGCTATGATTGGCCCGCTGTTACACATATGCTAAGTTGTTTTATTGCCTACTGATCTAGATAGATATTATTTAAATTAACAAAATTAACCGGGAATATTGATGGTGTAAAATATTTACAAGAAGTTAAGTTTATTTAATATGCTCTGTAAAATCGATGATCAAACACTAATGTCAATATAATTTCACTAGCGTAATAAGATGTCACAGGTGTATATTTATGTCACTATCGATGTAGTGAACAAATGATGGCAGTGATTGTATTTCGCGAACGAATTGTAGCGAACTGTTCTAGAGTCTTGAAAATTTACTAGTGAGGCAATTCGTATAGAGAGGAGAATAAAAATGGTTTTTTTACTTTTGATATCGGGTTGTGAATGCTATAACTAGATATTAATGCATATTAGATTACGTCACTGGGTATAAAAAATAGTTTGTTTCTTATTTTGATAAAAAAAGACACTGAATTTAGTTGAACTCTTCACTTTCATAATAAGTTAGTTATAAATGATCTTTTATAGTTTGTGATAACTGTGTGAATAAATAGGTCAGTTTCTAAGGGAATCTGGCCATGTCAGTTAGAGTAACTGAATAGAATTATTATTCTTTACACAAGTCGTTCACATATCAAATGTACTTTTCGATAAATTAGATATGTAAATCTCAAGGATTAAGCTACAATCCCACCTTCCTATGTCGATACATTTAATTGGTTAGAATAGTTACACTGATAGAAATACTATTTTTTCATTCAGATATTCTTAATATATTGATGAATGCATGAAATTTACAAACAGTTTAAATTGCATTAGCTGAAGCAAAGCATATTTTGTATTATGATATCTCCAAAATTTCACAGGTATCTGAATATGCTCATAAGTATGATGTGCCTGTGATAGCAGATGGTGGTATTCAAAATGCCGGTCATATTGTTAAAGCTTTGAGTTTTGGTGCATCCGCAGTTATGATGGGTGGACTTTTAGCTGGTACAACGGAGTCAGCTGGAGAATATATATTTTCTGATGGCGTGAAATTGAAAAAATACCGAGGTAATGTTACTCTTCAGCTAGCATACTTAAAAATAATTCATTTAATCCGTATTGACCGTATAAATATTGAAGGATATGTAAAGTGCACATCCTCAGTATTTTCCACATCGGTCAGTTAGTTTATTCATCCATCTACTATTACCTAATTATTATCGATGAAGCCATCATTTATGAAACTTTAAATGAAAAAAGTGCCATGCAGTTTTATTTTAATTGTTAATATTGTCGTTCAAGGGAGATAAATTATTATGAATGGAAATGTCTACATGTTTTAAAACATATTTTGTAGTGTTATGGCTATCCTTTGGATTAAGTTGTTGACAACCTTTGACAGTATTTCTAAAACGCTTTTTTCCATAGGTATGGGGAGTTTAGAAGCGATGTCTCAGCATACAGAAAGTCAAGCGAGATATTTCAGTGAATCAGATCGTATTAAAGTTGCGCAAGGTGTTTCTGGAACAATTATTGATAGAGGTTCAGTTCATCAGTTGGTTCCGTATTTAGTAGCTGGTGTTAAACATGGATTACAACAAGTTGGTGCTAGAAATATAACAGAATTACACAATATGTCGAGAAATGGAACGTTACGCTTTGAACATCGAAGTTCATCAGCGCAACTGGAAGGTGGTGTACACAGTTTATATTCGTAAGTTTTGTTAGATGTATTTCACTATCATAATTTTATGATGCTTTTCTTATAGCCGTTTATTTACAGAAGTTTAGCCTTCTGAGCATTGATTTGACTCTGTCAAAAGATGCTTGACATTCTGCTGACCACTGCAAAGGTTTATCTTTTGGCAGTAATTCATTTAGGGAACCTCTCACTCGAATAATTGGACTTCAACATCCTGGACCAGATAATATAATCATTGCCTCCACAGCAGTAGACCCAGAAATACGAAGTATAGTGGCAGATGCCATTCGAAACACTTTAGTGTCGTCACATGAAGTCAGAAGAAACTTTTCCAGACCCAACCCTACAAGAAGTTAGAAAGTTCCACCTGGAAGGGTGGCCCTCGAAAATCAGTTTCACAGAGCTTCAACAGTTTTACCAGCGAAGACTCTCTTTCAATCATCGACGACTGCCTGCTGTTTTCCGAACGTGTCGTAATCCCCAAGGAGCTACAACCAGCAGTGCTTGAACAGTTGCATGCAGGACATCCTGGAATAAATCGCATGAAAGCACTAGCACGAAGTTATGTATACTGGCCGCATCTAGACACCCAACTGGAGCAGCTATCCCGTTCGTGTACCAAATGTGCATTAGCAACAAAAGCACCGCGAAAAGCAGAGCTGCAATCATGGCCAATACCACAGTCACCGTGACAGCGTATACATTTGGACTTTGCTGGTCCACTTCATGGACTGTTATAATCTCTTTTCTTACGGTTATGACCCAGCTATTCCTATTGCTTAGTATTCTCGGATACCGGTTCACTCGACAAGTTCCCAAATCAGAACACGCTTGAACAGGAAAGAGATTATGTTCCAAATAACAAAGTTAGATGGAAGTAAGAAGCACAACAGGGAAAACGTTAGTACATTTATAGTTTTTACATGAGAAGATTCTAGGGTATTCTCCAACTATTGACTAGTGCTGATTGGTTAAGAATTAGCCAACCTATTATGTGCCAATGTTCGTACTATTGCGTATTATCTGAAAGTTTATCTACTTCGTTTATAGTCTCAATTTTTATGCCTAAAACCATATTCAGTATGAACTATTTGGCCGGTAAAATCCAAATGATATTTATGTTTTGGAAATCATCAGAAACGTATGTCATATACTGAGCAAATACAGTCAGGTAACGTTCATTGTCGAAACTAAATAGCGAACCAACTCTAAGCGTTCTCACGGTTTGTTGAGTTAGTAAATTCTTTATCTATTAAAGGTCTCATATTTGCTGTAGTCATAATTTTTCCATTTAATTCTTAATACATATTTATTGTACGTACATTTATCGAGTTGTACAACTTTTTCGCAGCTTTTTCTTCCTTTATTTTGTTGGACTCTCCTGACACGCAAGTAGAATATATGGTAGTTGATACAGGCAGCAAATCATGTATCATATCGTTTCATATTTTTGTAAGATGATCGCATTTTGAAACGGGATATTAATGGAATCTAATATCTAATTTCATCGACGTTTCCTGTTTTCTGTCTATGTTTACATTATTTTTGAGGTGGCCAGTGCATTTTTCATAATTAATTAAAATTATTTACTGATTGAAATCATGAGTCAATTGAAGCTAGACCACCATGGAAAGCCCTGGAAGCACTGGACGATCGTTTCGTCCTAATATGGGACTCTTCAGAAGTGCGCACCCACAATCCCGCACTTCGCGAGATTCGAACCCAGGACCTATCAGTTTTGCGCCAGGCGCTTAACCAACTAGACCACTGAGCCGGCATCCAACAGTGTTAATGTCTAACTTCAACCAATCCACGAAGTTGCACCGCCGTACACCATTGTCTTCAGTGAGCTGATATCTCACAACCGACCTTGTTGAACTACACTGGTAACGGCTTTTCTTTCAATCAGTGAAGTTTCTAAAATCTCCACAAAACTTCTGATAATAATCTAAATTATTTTATCCCAAAATAAGTTATACTATGACCACTTAATTAACATTCAACGAAATACTCTATTAGCTATTACTTGAATAATTTCATGGTAATGTTTATAACTATATTCTTTTGGTTTCATTTGAACGTGAATATTATTTTTTCATTTCTTTTATATTATAGGTACAATAAAAATCTTTATTAGTGATAAATTAACAACAAATCACCCACCTTTCGATTATTGTTATTTTGTATACGCGATCTTTTTCATTAGTCCTTCATTGTTTTCAACACTTCCGCTATATATTGTTTCAATATCTATTGTCTATTAAGAAAAAGATCTTTATTATTATTGCATCTTGTTTGTATGGTTGGCAATTGTAAATCTATTTGTATGTGAGTATAAATCTTATTGACTACTCAATTCACTTGGTCTCTTATATATTCTTTTAGAGTATTTTATTTTGATTAGTTCCTGATTGTTTAGTTTTGATTATCTGTAATTTTGAATGGAATAAAAACATTACTTTATGACGTAATTGTTTTTCTTCCCTTATGAAATGCTCAATACCAACTGGTGTTCATTAATTTTATTGAAACTTACGGTATCCTAAATCTGATACCGATACACGGTGTGCTAAACGCCAATCTCCCAATTAACTACTTGAGCGAGAAACTGTATTGGACTACCGAATAGAATGCACAAATATTCATTCTTATATTAATTGATTCATTTCTCAGTCAACGAAATGCATTTGAACTTTAGGTCACTTCTGATTACCAGCGATTTACCTTTTGCTAATTCTGATTGGTTATCCATATTAAATTTCTATATTAAATCAGTTTCATTCAAGTAAGGAATTGTCATGTGCATTTAGATCAACTACATTAAAATCTGATATTCATTTTGAGTTTATTAGCATATGCTTCAATTATTTTAAATCCTTCTGTCATTCCTTATGACTTGTTATAATTTACTTATAGCTGTGATCATATATGAAGAAAATGAACCATGAAATATTTGAGAGTACATATTATGGTGAGAAAAACAGCTGATTTTATCGAACATTTTCTTGACTTAATCTATTGTCATTATTACTATTCAAATATACCTTGATAGTCAGAAATAATTTGAAAGCTATTTCTTCATTAATAAATGAATGACTGTTGCTGGTTATTCCCAAAGTTTCTTTGAAGTGAAAGTCAAGTAGTTGTATCATAAGGATTTTCTTCTGGGAGTTTATCTTAAGCTTTATAAGTATTGCGTAAATGTATAAAAGTTAATTTTGAAGAGATACTATATTTTTACAGTTGTTTCTATTATTTAAAATCAAAGTGATAGGTTATGTCAGAATAACGCGGGATGACAAACGTTGATTTTACTTCAAAACATTCTGTACAACATTAGACATAAGTAGCTAACTTCATTCAGTGTTTTTTTTTTGTTTGATAACTTTGAATTGAGCAGGAACAGCAATGTAGATTCGTGTAATCTTGAGAATTTCAGTAGTTAATTGCAACTTGAATTAAACTAACAAACAGTACTGCTTTGATTAACAATACTTGAAACTTTGGGCTATTAATAAGATTGTCTGTGTACATAATGAGTAATTTATAAAATACAATGAGACGGTGAAGTAATATCCAAAGGTATAAAATTGGTCAGATGGTTTGCCTTATAACTGTAAATAGTTTGTAAGTTTTTCCAGGTCTGAATGGCTGTATGAAGAACGCACAATGAAGAGGAAGTATTTCGAGTAAGATGAGGTGACGAATAAATTTTAAGGAATTACTAGAAGGATCATATGACTATTATTACGGCTAGTTTACAACTAATACTTTCTGAGTGGCTAGATTAAGTTTAAGCTGTTTGATAATTTTTGCCTTAGGAAGTGGCTATTCATTACTTCATGTGATTTTAATTAGCTAATGTTGTATTCGCTATAATCAAACGCTACGCTGATATGCTATTATATCGTACCTGAAAAGTCTTATGAATATACATTCCCTCCGACATGAAGTATGTCAACGTCGTTAAATGTAAGATACTTGCTTCAGTAGAGGATTCCTGTAAATTGTAATAAACCTGGTAGCTGATTAAGTCACTGATAATGTGAGATTTCTCACATTAATAAAAATAACTGTTTTTCACGTACACAGCGCAATTACTTGTTGTGAAAAAAAGAAACTACAGTTGTATTTCCTGGTAGGATTTTTAATTGACATTTTCAAATTTCTTATAAAATCATATGATATGGAATTCAATATTATTTGCAAGGAGAAGTCCGTTCAAACTTGATGCGACTTGTAATCAAATTATTTAAGGTGTAAAACAGTGAAACAGCATGTTCTTGTTAATTGTTTGTGGATGATGATCTCATAGGCTTGTGACTAACTGTTTTGTAGTTTTGCTCTGAGATAATAATGTGATATACTTACATTTTACTGCAATAACAATCAATCGTACGATGTAGCTGCAATCAGATATTGGGCCACCAAAAGTGATGAGCCCGCCAACGACGAAACTAACGCAGAAAACTACGTTGATGAAGAACCTTCTGAACTCCATTCTTTTGACGAACAAGCTCACTGAAGCCAGCTCAATCGATAAACACCGCAGTTTCCGACCATATGATAAAATCGGAGAGAGTGGCAAGCCTGACTTTGGAATAAACACATCCTGAAAATTTACACAGACGGTGAACATATCGAAATCGACGCGTCCAATAAACGATCGAAGTGTCTGACTTAATCAAAGAGCTACTCAAATGATTCGATCTCTAATCCAGCGCATTTATTGAAACTGGTACTGCAGCGACATGGACATGCTCAAATTGTATTTTCTTATCGGTACTTTGTCTTTGTGTCAATCCTCATTTATCTATTCGGTGTTTCATTCCATTATGATTATAATAATTATTATTGTTGTATCACCTAACATGAGATTATTATTTTTGCTCGTGTTAACATTAAATTATGATACTCAGTCGTATTTCTCACCAAACAAATTATAATTTTATCAGAATGTGTTTTGTGGAGATTTTTAGAAATTTTCACAGATTGAAATCATGAGTCAGTTGAAGCTAGACCACCATTGAAAACCTGGAAGCACTGGACGGCCGTTTCGTCCTGGTATGGGACTCCTCAGCAGTGCGCATCCACGAATTTGTTGAACATTTCATTCACGTTATGACATTCGAAACTTACTGGACCATTTTTAATTACTCATTAACGTAAAATGTTGGTGATTTAAGTGAGGTCGTTTATTTTTTTTCCGTGTCATTTTTGCCCTATTATTACACTCATTTACGTAGTCGAGGTCATTTTTGTGTAATTCTACCACAAATCATTTCCATATCATCTCTTATTATGTCTGTTGATGCGATTAATTCTAATAACCCTTTTGTTAAGATCGATCATTTTTATTATGTTCTGTATCATCACATCAATGGCTAAATTATTATTGTTCATTTGTGAAGATATATGGCTACCGCATGTCACATATTTGCTAGATGCTCGTACACGAATCTTTAGTCTAAGCGGTCGAGCGAACCTTCTGCACACTGATAACGGCATGGTCGAGAGGTGACTAATGTTCATTCATCGTATTTGTACGCAGCAATCGTCATCTCTCACCTTTTCAACGACAATCTAGATCGAACTTCAGCCATTTTTTGTTTAATCGATGATCCATTCTTTAATGTCTATATACTAACCGTTTAGTAACGATTATGTTCATCTTATCTATTCGTTCACATGTATAACTGCATGCTGCATCATACAGTACCCATAAACATAATTCGATTCCCGTCGCACTGTACGTCAGAACATAGAGTTCAGAGATAGTCTCTTAAGGATACATTTTTGTTCGTAGTATCTAAGTTGGTCTCACTCATCTTCATGAACAATCATATGTATTGGTATTTTTATCAAGCCTTAGTACGGTTTTCTGACAGGCGAGGTTGAGCGCCTATCCCGCAAGCTAGGTTTCATGACCAAAAACGAATACGACTCCGCTTATCTCGTCTCCGCAGTCTTTATTCTGTTTCTCCGCTCATTCTACTAATACATATTTAACGATAACTCGATGCATCTGGCTATCACTCGAAGAACAACGTACACTGACTTCACATGCTATGATTATTATCAACTGCAGTACAGCAACTAATATCACCCACCAATGCGGTTATCAATTTACCGCTGGATTATTCTTATCCCACATACGCCCCGTGTGTGTGAATTCGAATTCACTAATCGCTAGTCGACGCAATTTACCCTACTGCGGTTTATTAGAACATTTTCATATTTCACTGTTCTTTATCCTCGATTCCTGTCGTCACCAAACCGATTTCTGTTATATTCTACCTGACGAATTTTCACGATTTATTACGCTGTCATCCTCATAAACGATTAATTGCTGTTTTTACAATATTTTGAATCGCTCATACGAACGTGTTATTTTGTCGTTCAGATAGTCGCAACATGAATGTATGTTAATTTTTGTACGCTTATTATTCTGTTCATAATCGCATGCTAACATTTCCATTTTAGTCCGCGCCTTTACGATATTCGTGTATTCTTTTACATGGGTATGACACTTTCGTATAATACACTCGCCCCTCATGTGACATTGTACTTTATCAGAAATAGTACAATTTTTTTTCGCTACTTATCGTTTATTGTTAACCACATACCCCTTTCAGCGTTATTTTTGAAAACACATTTTTTCAAATAAATGTGCTATTGTTTACAAAGGGGTTGTGTAGTGTCAGTTACTATGTTAAGCCCACACAACTTATTCTAGCTTCCGGACAGTCTAATTTGTTCATTCTTTCTGAGTCACATTTTGAACTTGTTAATTATTTGCTTATCAACCTTGACTGTTTTTATATGAGCGTGTGTTCATTTGTTAACCTAGTCATCACATTTCTGTAACGTATTTTTCTTCCGCCATAAGTACCGAATAACTCTTGTCTAAAACGAGTTGGCTCATACGCTTTGTCCACCGCGCGTCACTTCGCTTCGCTCTTCTGACTGTCTGTCCAAATCAGTGAGTGTTCAAAATATACGTGTTAAAAAATCCATTCTGGTATTTGATTTATTTAATTCCATTATTCAGTAATGCGAGTTAAGTCGAGGATATGTATATTTCAATAACAATCAAACGTACGATCTAACTGGTGTCATATATGGGGCCATAAAACACTTCATAGGTCTTATTTAATAAGTTCGACGTCACAGAATTCTTTTCATACGAATGCCAATAATGTAATTTTGGTTATTTTATGGTTTATCGTTGTTCCCTAATAATCCTCGGCGTTATGTTTCATTATTAATAAAATTAATAGTCTGAGTTCATGTAATGGTGAACCAGCTATGCATCTATCACAACTTATGGTCAAACTGTTTTGAACTCGTATAAATTAGTAATTGAAATGGACAGTTATTGCTAATTTGAAGTTGCTGTAGAGAACTGAATATGGAAAATTCCGAATTTCGGTATTACAGACATGAGCTACTGACAATCAGTTAGTAGCAATATGATGATAGATTAACAATTATAAGCATCAAACAGCGTTAATATAATGTAACCCTTGTGAAAAATGTTAAATAAATAATCATTCGGAACAATATTTTCGTAAGTTTAGATTATATGGAATGATCTACTCTAAAAGATATTTAAATCAAAACTTGTAAGTGATACATTTGGACTTCACGGTTCTTCAATTCAAACAATCATAGTGACTTCGTGCTACCATTTAACAGAATAAGTGTTTCACGT